CAAATATGTTTAACTGTTGGTTGGGATGTAGGACAAGCAGCACATTTCCCTACATGGGTTTAGGGTTTAGAGTTTAGGGCCAAAACCCTAAATCCTAAACCCTAAACGCGAAATCCTAAACCCTAAATCCCTCGTAAACTGTGTAGGTTGCCAGGGGCCATTCTCTGGTGTGTGCGGTTTAGGGTTAGGGTCCAAGGACCCAAGAGTTAGGCTTGGGTAACTACATGATAGCTCGGTACGTACCTGGACCCTTAGGATTGGTCACCTGCATTGATATATCTAAAGAATTCAGGCAGAGAGCCTAAATCGGTTCACAAAGTCGATGAATATACTTCCTACAACCCTAAAACCCTAAACCCTTGAGCTTTTTGGAGCCTTGAAGTAGAGACTAAACCACGGAGGTTTCCAAGGGCCGTTCTCTTTTCACCTCCTTGTCCTGCGCTTCGCTCATTCGCATGAAGTGCCTCAGCGGTGGCATTCCGAGGTTGAAGCATCATGATATGCTGCAGTTGTACATAGCCTCGGAGCTCGATATCTATAAAACAATACTAACATTGGTAACATAAGGCCCGAAGTCTAAGCAACACGGCTTACTCCCAAGCCTAAACCCTAGACCCTAACCCTAGACCCTAAACCCTCTTCAGACTCCTACGTTACAGCAGGGCTGGAGGTTCAGGATTCTTAGGTTTGACTGCCATTTGAGCCCTTGGAATTGGGGGTTTACGGTTTAGGATTCAGGTGTTAAGAATTGGGGTTTAGGATGTAGGGTTTAGGATGTTAGGTTTAGGATTTAGCGTTTGGGATTTCGGGTTTAGGGATTAGGGTTTAGGATTTAGGATGCAGGGTTTAGGATTTAGAGTCTGGGATTTAGGGTTTAGGGATTGGGGCTCTAAGGCTTGCTCTGGAGCTTGAGCGACTCTGGAGGTAAGCAGGCCTCGGCTGCCTTTTCCTGGGTAGATATTATGGGGGGGGGGGGTTCCCAAAATTAGGGATACTTTTAAAGGGCTTCTAGAGGATCTTTACAGGTGTTATATAAGGCTATATAGGGTTTAGGGCTTCCAAACATTAGGGATACCTTTCTGGGGGGGGGGGTTATCGTATTTGGGGTCTATATTGGGGTCCCCTTATTTTGGGAAACTATCATCTCAGTAGGACCATAGGGACTAAGGAGACAAGTAACTGTAGTCATAGATACCTTCATATAACCCCAGATATAACTATCCATGATCTTTCAAGTAGGGCGCAGGGGGTTGGTCCGTAGGAGGTTACGGCAAGATGTGGATATCATCCGTGTACGCATCCTGATTGGCATGGTCCTCGCCCTAAACCCTATACCCTTAAAGCAAAACCCTATACCCTTAACCCCCCGAACCCTAAATCCCTAAACCGCTGACCCGTAACCAAACTGCCCACACAATCTTGCGTCTCATTTGCATAGCAAACGGTCAAACCAGCCCCACGTGCATCAAACTTAGGGTTTAGGGTTTAGGGTCAAAATCTTACGGCCATCATGAGCCCCAAGGCACCGAGGCCGCTGCCCGAGTATCAATTTCAGGGGGGTTTACCGGATTAGGGGCTTAGGGCTTTAGGTTAAAAACCGTTTAGGGTCAATGTGCCATTGTGGTACATTATAATGTGCTGAGCATTTCTAATATGAAAGTTGCGGGGGGTTTTCACGCAAGGGGGCGGGGATTACATGGGATGCGTCTTGGGCCCTCCGCAGGCCTCTAGGTTTTTACTCCACCACTTCTTGTGGGTGGGAAGAAAACATAGGTATTGTCTTGGAAGCCTGGACATAAACCAAATCACTACTGCCCTTGAATCCTGCCAAGAAAGGTATACCTTCAGCTGCCCAAGAGTACCTGAACCCCAAAAGTATGCAGAATAATGGCCCTTTGGGCTATATTTAGGTATTTTGGGCTGTTATTTTACCTACTTTTGGGGTCCAGGTACAACCCAGTAGGCAAAATCCAAGAAAGTCAGCGCACTTGCAAATAGCGGGGTCGTCATTCTGAGGACCCCACCACCCACCCCCACGCCCCCACCCAAGAAACAACATAGCCTTGACAAATCCCTGTTGTTGAGAGAAGAACTCTCCCTGGCAGCGAAGCGCGCAATTGATGAGGTTCTGTTGGGAGGAGTGGTCTGGAAGCACAAGCCCCTCACCAGCCATCGGACAATTTTGCAATCTCTAGCACCACAGCGCGAGATACCAAACCCCTTGTATAACTATCCTCGATCCCATCCTACATGGACTTCTTCACCACAGAAAAAACACCCAAACGGCCCCTGAACCGGATACCCCAAGACCTTTGCGGAGCAATCCTGCACTCTCACTTTTTCACCGCGGATGGGATTTGCGGCATGGCTGCAAGGGTTTGGGTCCTGTCCCCGTCTTTGTGCAGGTAGCCAATAGTTGCATGCTTGCCAGAAAGAAAACTAAATCCAAGGTACCCTTTAACCCTAAACCCTAAACCCATCAGATACTGGGCCCCTGCCATGGCGTGGTTTGGGCTTTGTTCGTGTGCATAAATAGGGCTTGATGCCCCTCCTAGCAGCAGTACACCCAGAAGGACCCATGACTTACCTTTGAGGGTTTGGGGTTCAGGATTTGGGACAGAAGGACCCATGATCACAGCGGAATGTTGAGGGAGCCGCGCCCACACAAGCAGACTCTCATCTTCCTCTCAACAACGCAACAATCTCCACATGGCCGTTCTCGGACGCATAGTGCCAGGCTGCTGCGTCCTTCGCACTCTTGAGATCCTTGTCAGCACCGGCTTCAAACAGCAGGCGCACCACCTCCATATGGCCCTTGAGAGCAGCATGCATAAGCGCCGTGTCGCCAGATGCGTTTTGCAGGTCCTTCGAAGGGATCTCAAGACTAGCTTGTGGGTAGAATCTCTTCAAAAGATGCATATCAAAGGAAGCCATAGATTCCCCTGCTAGGAGGCCTCAAGGCATCTATACCGTAAAGCCTAAGCCCTAAACCCTAATATAGCTGTGTCCTTGTTCGCACCAGCTTCCAGCAGCAACTGGGCAATCTCCACGTGGCCATTAAGAGCTGCGCAGCCGAGAGCTGTGTCGCCAAACCAGTTCCTAGGGTCCGGCTGATGTGGAGGTTTAGGGTTTAGGGTGGGGGCATTGGCCCTTTAAGGACTTGCGAATATTCTGGGAGCTTACGTGCAGTGCCCGTAATTTTGACAATTCACACCACATTATGGACTTGACAAAGCTGCGTGTGTTCAACGCTTCCCCGCGACAATTCTGAAACCCGAGCTCGATTTTGATTTGACAAATGAGATATGACAGTAGCTCAGGATAAAGTCCTATAAAGAGCTCAAAAGAGGGGTTTAAGCTTTGGGGTTTTGGAGTCCTATGCCATTGTGGATATATTCCGTCGGGGACTTCAAGCACTATTAACTACAGTAAACCTGTACCCTACATCCATTGAGCCCTAACCACCAAGAAAGACCCTCCCTAGCTTAGCAATCTGAAACTCCAAAACAAAGATTTCAGAAACTGATCACGTGCAACCTTGATGAAACAATCTCCATGGCAACCCGGTTGGGGGATCCCATAAACTTAAACCCTAGACCCTAAACCCTAAAACCCCAAACCCTAAATCCTAAACCCTAAATCCTATAAACCCTAAAGCCCGCACCTAGAATCACAGCAAAGGTTCTGGTAATCCTTATTGGCACCAGATGCCAGAAGTAGCTGCACGAGCTCCATCTGCCAAAATTTAGGTTTAGGGTTTAGGGGTTAGGGTTTAGGAAGGAATAACAGAGAATCAAATGAGCCGTAGTCCAATTTCCTTACGGAGGGTTCTAGAGGGTTTAGGGTCTAAACTCCTCAAGGAAGGCTATATAGGGGATTATACAGGTGGGTAGTATAGAAATTTGAGTGGTGGGATTTATGATCTGTGCATCAGGTGTAGGTATGGGTTGAGGGCATTTTGGGAGTTCAGGGCGTGGGGGCTCAGATTTGAAGGTTGGGAGCTTTAGGTCTTTTAAAGGACTACAAAGAAAGAAGCACAATACTACTCAGTGTATTATGGACTACAGTAGCCCAAAATCGAGTCTCACTGTTGGGGCTTTACTCAAGAGATCAGATGCTCCAATGGTATGATATGGGGACATGAGGTGGGTCCGAAAATCAGCGGGTTCCATTTCGGAGGGTGTCCCTGCAATGTTTCTAAGATTCGGGATGTGACTGCGTGGGACGCCTCGTTAGAAACTACCAGCCGCATGCAAGCCTTAAATATTAAACACAAAGGCCAAGGCTGTCACACGTCCTGGCCCGTCAACCCAATACCACGAATCGGCTTGTTGGAAACTGGCCCAAGTGAAAAATCTCACGGCTACCAATAAAACCTAAGCCAAAAGGCCAAAACCCATGAGTGCGTACGCTAACTATTCCACGTTGCCCACATCAAGTTACCCACGCGTCCATGTACAAAGCGTTCATGTAAAACCCAAGTTCTCAAGACGCGCCTCATCAATCATGTAACTTAGGCAGTCTGCTCATTTTCCTAAGCCCTTAACCCTAAGCCCCTAAACCCTAAACCCTTAATCCTAAAACCTTAAACCCTTAACCCTAAAACCTTAAACCCTTAACCCTCAATATAATGTGGGAAGAGGAGCCTTACACCCTTAACCCCAGATCCCTACATCGCAGAACCCTGGCAGTTTAGTTCGTAGGGTTTAGGTTTAGGGCTTAGGGGTTTAGGGTTTAAGTTTTAGGTCTTGGGGCTTAAGGGGTTTAGGTTTTAGGGTTAAGGTTTTAGGGCTTAGGGGTTTAGGGTTTAGGTTTAAGGCTTAGGGGTTTAGGAGTTTAGGGCCTTGAAGCCCCTACAGAAATCCTAGACGCTCCACAAACCTCCTACTGTTGATACTAAAAACTTTCCATGGACTCAGTAGACTGCAATTCCCTACTTCCAAAGATTTAGGGTCATAAAGCCAGCGTCTACCCCTTCCTTCATTTTAGCAACTCCCCACGTTGCCCATGAGAGCTGCATGTCTGAGACCCGCATCTCTGGCCTCAGTTGAAGCCCTTGGGGTTTTTAGGTTGAAGGTTCAGGGTTTAGAGATCAGAGTTTAGGGTTTAGAGTCTAGGGCTTAGGAGCTTATTAGGGTTTAGGGTTGGAGGTCTAGACTTTGCAGTTTGGGGCTTAAGGATCCGGATTTAGGCTCGAGGTGTTGAAGCTTTTGGGATGGAATGGTTGAGGGACAAAGGCTTTGAAGTGGTTAGGACTATGAGGTTGAGGTATAGTCCCCCCTGAGTAGATAGCATATGGCTTCGGGTATATTATACTAAGATTCCCATATATCCGATATTCTATCTACTTAAGGGGGACTATAGGGTTTAGGGATTAATGTGGCTATGGAGCTCAGAGTTTAGGATTTAGGGTTTGAGGTTTGGAGCTTAGGGCTTAGCATCTACGCCAAAAGCTCCTATGCAGTTCGTTTTCGGATCATACTATAAGCCCTGGACACACCACCTGAAAAAATCCGGAGAAATGGGCTACGGAAGAGCTCCAGGAACCCTAAATCCTGAACCCTGAACCCCTAAACCCTAAATCCCTAAACCCCTAAACCCTAAATCCCAAACCCTGTAAACCTTAAATCTCAAACCCCTAAGCCTCAAATCCCTAAACCCTAAGCCCTAAATCCCTAAACCCTAAGCACTAAACCATGAAACACGTGCTCCAGGCCAAGGTAGCCTTGAGGTCTTCATGCTGTTCTCTTACAACAGGAAGGTTTAAGGTTCGAGGTTCAGGATTTAGGGTTTAGAGACCCCAACCCAAAATCAAGACCCTATAGGGTCCTTATTTCTGGGGTTGAGAACGCCAAAAGCCCCTCATTCTTCCAAGAACATGCACAGAAGGAACCCTGAAGGCGGGCACTGCGAACGCGAATCTCGTTCTGCGGAGGTTCTGCTTGTTTGAGAATGTAGACCCATGATTAATAAACCCCCTCCTTTTATGGACCTAAATATTAGGATCCCTATTATAATCCCTATTAAGGGGAGGGGGTTTCTTAATCATCGGTGTGGGTTACGGGGGCTTATTGGGTATCGAGCCCGAAAAGTGACCCCTATCTATCATGTGACTGTAGGAGAAACCAAGCCCAAGACTTTGAACCACAAACAACGAAACCACACCTCTAAACCCTAAAGCCTGAACCCCCAAAACCCGGAGTTGCCGACGCAACAGGCCTAGGCGACACAACCTCTCATGGCAGCATAGATACTCGAAGCCCTAAAATTTCAAGGTTGAAAGCTAGCAAGGACGGCTTGTCAACATCATCCCTACAAAGCGGTTCATCAGATTCATGACCCCGTAATCCACTTGTAGTCGCTAAATATCGAGTGTCCGCGCTCGTTCTCCAATTTTCAGAAATCCCAAGCTCTACGCCAACCGCCAATTACTGGTTAGCTTTTGCGATATCATGATTACGTCTGTTTGTTCGCATTGGCTTTTGTATAATGCGAAATAAAAAATGGCTTGGATACTGCCCCCCAAGCTACATTCTCTACTAGCTAGAGGTACCACTGCGGCCTTTACATGTTCTTATCATGGTTATATACAGCTGTCACCGAGTGGGGGGGGCATCCAAAACATTGCCTACAATGACCCAAGTGACACCATGCTCTCCGTCATCATCTGTCCCGGCTTCCAACAGCAACCTCGCAACCTTCGTGTGGCTAAGTTTTGGGGATTGGTGCGAAACCTGGAAATATGGAAGCACAGAAGTGTACATGTTCACAGATATATGTATATATGTATATACATATCTATATACATATCTATGTAGATAGTGAAGAGATCGCATATGAATGGGAACTTAAGGATTTGATAGGGCACCTCTTGCAACGCTCCTGGTGCATGGCTTTATGGCTGAGGGCTCGCAATGGTCTGTACACAAACGGGCGTGCAATGTTGCAAAGCTTTAAAATGCATCTACCCCAAGATCTTTCCCTGCGTTTTAGGGTCAGAGTGGTAGTCTCATGAATGTTGGTTTCTTCACCGGGAAGACCTCAAGTTTGCCCGTTTTGGGGGTTAGGGTTTAGGCGTAAACCCTGAAGACCACCCCAAAACCCAAACCTCCTTAAAGCCTGAACCGGGCCATTTGGATCCTTAGGGTAAGCCCTACAGCCATTCCGCAAGACCATTGGATCAGCCATCAACGACATCCGACCTACAAATCCTCGACCTCAGAACGGGAAGAAGCAAAACCAGTGTAGAACCCTAGACACCTTAGAACTCACATCAGAAACTCTTAAACTCTGAACTCAATCCCAACACGACCTGAGTAAAAAGACGAAACTTAACATCTTCAACCATCCGGCGAAAGTCACAAAGAACCAAGACCCTGTGCAAAATAAGTCTAAACTCCTAGTATCCGCCTTAATAACCCTTATAATTGTCCCCTGTATAGTCCCCTATATAACCCCCTTTAAGAAGTTTAGACCCAAAACTCAAAAATCCAAAACCCTATACAATCCCCTATATAACCTCCTTTAAGGAGCGCAGACCCAAAACTCAAACCCCTAAACCCTAAACCTTATACCCTAAACCCTAAACCCTTGAACCCTAAAACCCTTGAACCCTAAACCCGATACCCCAAACCCTAAACCCTAATGTGCAAAATGAAATTGAGTGATACCTCGATGTGTCCGTCTTTGCAAACATCCTCGAGCTCTTGGGAAGCCGCAAGGCGAAGCTCAACAGTGGTCCTTCTAGGGTTTAGAGTTTTTGGGGCCTAGGGCTTAGGGGTTCCATTTCGGATTTTAGGGTTAAAGGTTTAGGGTTGAGGGTTCATCTTGGGATTTTTGGTGTGAATTGGATGATAGGGATTCTTCCAGGTTTAGGCCCCATAGGGGTTAGGACTAGGGGTGCAAGCGTTTATTTGGACTTTAAAGCTTAATACCCGGGGGGTCCAAGATCTACAAATAATGTCAATGTTCGGCCCGGAAGTCTATAAATGTTACCTACGTGAGCTGAGTGTAGGGTTAGGAGAGAGGTTTGGATTTTGCTGGCTCTACCTGGGCCCCAATAGTAGGTAACATAATAGCCAAAAAAAGCCCAAAAGGGCATCATCCTGCATCCTTTTGGGGTTCAGGCATGCATCCCCGAAGGACCTCATAACCCGCTAAGTATTAACAGAGAGGACGGAGTGGAAAAAACATATGGCAAATGAAGCGGCAACCGGTGCTTGACAGGAATGGGAATGTATGTATGTATATATATATGCTTGCCCCC